CCAGTCACCCACCGGCTCATATGCACGTTGAACTCCTTGATCCGTGTTTCAAGATAGGGAGGATAGAGGATTTTCATCAACATCTCGACGTGCGGGAACCTATAAGTTAAACAAAAGAGGCGCGCGCTCAAGGTCCTCGATTGCCGCGACGACCTCCAAATTCAGCGTCGCGTCTAAATCAAAGAGTGTCGGAGAAAAATAATAATAAATTATAAGATAATAATTAAAAAATATTTAAAAGCTTTAAATCGTCAAAATATGATGAATGAGGAAAAATAACCTGCCAGCACTGCTCTGACGCCTCCGCCGACAAAACCAAGGGGGGGGGGGTAACCCCGCCGACCTTCGACCCCTTTACCAAAATGTTCCAAAAATTCACTTTATTGTCGATGCCGTCCTCCAAACATACGCACAAGCCACAAGCAACACACCTGTCAAGAGACAAAACCTTTTCATACTTGGCTTAATTAGAAGTGAAAATTTGGTTGGCGATCACGCCGACTCTTCAATCATTAATAAATAAAAATCACGCGTGCCTCAAATCTGCGCGCCCACACACTCTCTACTCTAGTCAATCGTCCAACCAAGTTGAACGTAAATCGCAGATGCAGCCGCGCCTCGCGCGTTATTTTTAAACTTTAAACCAAACTTATCTTTTGTCGCTTGCAAAAACCAGGGCAAATATCCTCGTAAGCGTATTCGCACCGACAACTTACCGGACCATATTAAGTGACGTCCCCGTCGCTTCGCCAGATCGAAAAACTATAAATCCAACCAAAACTTCAAATGCAGACGAGAAAGGAACCAATCCGATCAGCCGACAGACTCAGGTTTGAGGTCTCCATCAATCCATTTCAACCACGACTTTATGTTGTTAGGATTTCAACCTGGGTCTCCATCGTCCTCACACTAGGACAGTGGGATACTCATTACTATACTACAACATAAGTCCTTAATGGATTCCTTAATTGTCCTCCCCCGTTAGTCCTAAAAGAGCGTCGGCTTCTCGTTAGGTATCTCCAGCCTCTACCTTGTACGCAGGGTCATAACCAGAGACGGGGACGCTAACCGAGACCTTTTGAAGGCATTCTTGCCTCCCTCCAACAAATTTTACGATCAGAATATATATATATACACAAATCTCATCATAAACTCTTCCTGCAGTCTAGTACAGGAAGGTCAGGTCTCCATCCTGGCCCACCATAGTCTGGGTGATCGTGCCATATCTAGCGGTAGTGCCCTCGCAGGTTACGCCACGATAGGCTTTTTCCTGATAAGCATTTGATCAGGACTCAAAAAGACTTGACTCTTATCCCATGCCATCTCGCGGCAGGTAAAACCCTCTTGGGTGGCCACACCCCTTTAAGTCTTTACCCCTTCTGACGAGACGTGGTCCCACTGTCAGGTTGTGTCGACCAGCAACCAACACTAGGGATTGCTAAACTTTACCGTTAGCTTGGTATTCTCATAAATGCCCCAAGATTAGCACAAGTGTCTGGATAGTGTCTCGCAACAATACAGGCCTACTGCGGGACTGCGCAGAGGTCTGTCACATATAAAAGGTATTTACCAGTTCTCTGTAGGACAACATAGAGAAATACGGCAACCTCTCCACTTTCACAAAAAAAATCACCTCTAGGTTTATAAGGTCGTGACCTCCTTACTTGATCAGGGCAAGAAGGCCATCTCTCAGCGACATCTTCCAATATAACCTTTCGCCTGGGTTGTTTTACCGGACGTCCGGGACCCCCCTGACCGTCCGGGATGTCCGACTGGATGTGTGGTCGGACATCGGATCGGACAAGGGTTGTCCGACCTACCGCAAAAAAAAAAAAAAAAAAAAAAAAAAAATTATGTGGCTTCTACCTTGCATAAGGTGTATGGCACCAAATTTTTGGCTCATTTGAGCTAGTAGAAAAAAAGATAAAAATCTTCAAAGTTTCTAATCTCCACCTATACCCCTCCTATCCCCACCAAAACCCTTCGTACCCCCCCCTCCCACCCCAAATAGCACCCTAGCACCAAATGCTCAGAAAATTCTGAATTTTTTTATGGGGGGTCTCTATGGCATGCGCAACACTGTCATAATTTTTTTTATTTTTATTTTTTGAATGCCAAAAAGTGGTTGTTCGGGATCCCGGACAACCCTCCTACCGGACGGTTGGGGGAGACGTCCGGCCGAGACGTCCGACCATCGGATGACTGGTAACCTAGCCTTTTGCGACTTTCTCAAAATTTCAATAATGGCCAAGCAAAATGTGGTCCTTCTCGTCAGGCTTTATCATTCAAAATCAACCTGTCATGCCATTGAATCTATTCACCCCCTTTTTCATACGAAGGAGGTCTAACTCAATAGGTCTCTCAGTCATCCCTCCTCTTTCTAGGATGAGCTCCCATGCGACATTTTAACACATATCCCCTTCCAAAATATGAGTCTCCCAATAAACAAAAAGACTCCCTTTCCCACAAAAGGCGTCTCAACCATAAACCACTCAAACCAAGAGACCAGCTTGTGGGTCCCCTACCACAACTCAACAATTAACATACGGCATGGCAAGTATTCGAGTCTCAACGACCCATAAATCCCTTAGGATTCTCTCATTTTCACAAACACAGACTGCACTCCCTCTACTTATACTCGGCCCTATCACCTGGCCATGGACAGATTACACGAGTATACCGAAGAGTAGACAGTTCACAACCACTCACATTTACAAAATACAAAGCATGCAAGATGTTTCCCATACATCTTTCATACGAAACCATCATATATCAGGATAAAACCACACATGTGAGCGTGATTGTGATTGTTATATACAAAAAGTAGTCTTAAATAGTACTCAATTCAAGAACACACTTAGGGATGAGATATCTCATCCAAAAACATACACAATAATCTCGTTCCACGAATTTCTCAAAACAACTCTAGTCACCCTCAATATAGTACATGGTTAATCATAAGAAAAAAAATCACTGAAACAAATGTGAAACCGCGCGTTTATTGAACGTGGGTTTTCCGTTCAGAAACTGAAAGGAATGCACGGGCGTTCAATGAACGGGACCGAACGCGGAGTTCAATTCCGCGCGGAAAAAAAAAAAAAAAAAAAAAAAAAAAAAAAAAAAAAAA